GTGATTTTGGCTTGGAATTGGGAGGTTGGACCGGTTCTAGGTTCGGGGGGATGAGGGCTATCAAACCAAATGGGTTCGGAAAATTTTGGGTGCCCGGTTCGAGGTGAACCGGCCGGTTTAGTGTATTGATGCTCGGGTGATCGGTTCACTAGTTTTCAGGCGGTTCTTGGGGAGTTTTGGACCGGTTCCTGGTTCAATATGATAAAAACCCAGCTAACCATGAGATTTGGTGATTTTTGGAGGTCCAGTTCAAGGTGAACCAGTCTCGGTTTGCGTGCTGATGCTTAGGGTTAGGGTTTTGGCCCGGTTCGGAGCTGGTTTGAGCCATTTTTGGCCGGTTCATAGTGGTTCCTAGGGTTTTTGGGCCTTCTGAATCCGATTTTGAGGTTTCGTGGTCATTTGAGTTGAGTTGGATGTAGTTTTGAACCGGGCTAAGCTGGTTGGTGGGTTTTGGAGGTCGGTTCGCTATAGTTCGAGGTTTGTAGAGGCTGGTTTCGTAAAGTTGAGAGTGGTTAAGTTGTTTTGCTCAGTGTTAGTGAGTCACATAGGTTTCGACGATAGGTTAGGTTGCCTCGAGATGCGTGCCAAATGTCAATTTTGGATTTGAGTCCGGTTTGAGGCTACCAAGCCTATTTCTCATACTGGTTTCGTGTGATTTTGATTGCAGATTCGCAGGCAAGGGCCACACGGACCATTGAGTCGGGCGAGGTGACTCGGGACTCTCTTTTTGGCTTAGCGTCCATACTGTGAGTGATGATATCTTCTCTATGCTTGTGTTTTCATACTGTGATTTCTGATATGATGATTTTGTGGGGGTTGAAAATTGTGTTTTGATTATATGTTACGCGGGTTATGTGCTACGTGTTTTGTGAACTGTTAGGGAGTCGTGTCGGTATGTGATTTTTGGTTTTTGAGACATGGACTGTATATGGGCTGTATATCTGTTTGACTTGGATGTGAGAGTGGTGTGCTGTGACGGGATTTGTGGACGGCAGGAACTCGGCTAGAGTGCGGTGATCCGTAGCGTCCAGTAGGTGAGTCGGTCTGAGTCCATGAGGGGACGGGGGAGACTCGGCTGGAGTGCGGTGACCGTAGTGTCTAGTGTGGGGTAGGCCTGAGTCCAGTGATGTGATTTGATGTTGGCTGATAGTATTCTTGAGTGTATGTTGTTATGTTTTACTGATCGCTGTATGCTTAGGGTTTTAGACTTGTGTTATAATGTGTATCCTGACATGCATAGATTAGGTATCATCCGTATTCACTAAGTTTCACAACTCATAGTTTTAAACATTCCAGATTCATTTGACTGTACTCGCCTCGGTTAGCGCACTAATTTGGGAGATAGCGACTGCAGATTTGATCGATGTATAGGCACTTTTCTTTTATATCTATCCTTTATTGTATTCTAGAGTAGCTTCCTTGTACTTTCAGACAAGATCCCAGGTGATTTTTGGATGTTATATTATTACTCTTTGTGTATATTTTGTATCTTCAGGGTTCAACTGGTTTTGTTAAGGCTTACTGGGGTCGGTGGATCCCAGTGCCGGTCATGGGCCGGGGTTTGGGGCGTGACAATTATTTCTTCCACACGGGATAAATTACTTAAGCATTGGCAAAGTGAAAAATTTTGATGCCTGAGTGCTCAAAATAAGGGCAATCAGCATTTTAAGAAGGGCAATTCCCTTCATGTTTGGAGGCTCTATCCCCCCGTGAGCATGCTCGCAAAATGGTATGGATTAATAATTTTAATATAAATATTTAATATATATTAACTATATTTATTAATTATTGTATGCGTAAAAAAGTGGAAAAGTTCTGTCAATTACAGAAGTTTTTCAGCATTGTCATGTCAAGAGGAAGGAGAAGGAGAAGAAATGAGTTGATGAGCGGCCTAAAAGAACATTTGTGAGTTATTTTATTGTCATATATGTAAGTTAAAATTTTTGCATCACATTTTCCTTTATATACTATTAATGTTTTCACTTATATTTTCATGTAGAACAAGTATCAGCGCAATCTTGATGAGGCTCAATCTTTTCAAGCAACAGTTAGAGGTTCTGATACTCTAGATAGTAGTCCAACTTATTCTGAAAACGAAGATTTAGGCTTGTGTAGTTGGCGAGAAGATGAGATGCCACATATATAGGATGGGATTGCAACCGTCTTTAGGTGCACATTTCCAGTCAGCATTCTCTACATTATTGTCTCACAATATAAAGTCAGAAGTAGATCTAGCTGAGATGCACCAGAAGGTGGGGATGATGGAGGCAACTATCACTACAAGAAAATGCGCCTATTGTAACAACATTTTTTATTTCTACCAGGTATTCATTACTATAACTTATTGTGACAGTAAAAATGAATTTCATTACTATAGGTTTTTGTGTAAGAAAGCCCATCGCAATAAGTATTTGTAATGAAATTAGTGACTTCATTACAGATAATTTAGTAATGAATCTGAGTTGATTACAAGATAAAAAAAATTGGTAACTAATTTTTTTGTTCCAAAATGGTGATCTTTTTGTGTTGCCAAATTTGACATTTCGTTATAAAAATTTTTTGTGATGAGAACACCATCACAATATGTTATTGCAATTGAATATTTGTGTTCGTTACAAATAATTTAGTAACAAAGTTGGACAATTAGTGACGACTTTCATTGTTATGAAAAGTAGTTTTTTTTTTTTGTAACAAATACTTGATAAGTTTGTTACCATAAGTTTTCGTGCTGAAAAGCCCGTCACAATATGTGTTTATAACGGTTCGTTTTTTAAGTTGCATATTCTTTATTATGAGATCTTCTTAATTAGTAACAAATTTAGATGTAACAAATTCATGTGAATTTTGTTACAATAAACTTGTTATATAAAATTTGAATTTTGCCAAATATTAACACGACAAAAGTTGGTTTGGTTACAATTTCTATAGTACGCAGACGATCTTGAAATGTGTAAATTTAATAGTTAAAATCCTTTTTTCTTTATAATTGTTCTATTTTAATACATGTTAACATTTCATAAACATTTTATAATCATTTCAATGCATGTTAACATTTCATAAGCATTTTTGTAATACTTGCATATGTGATAATAACCTTTAGTACTTGTTGTATTACTTTGTTGTTTCTATATTACTTTCCTTGTAGTAGTTTGGACTTAGTAAAACCTTTAGAGTTGCTCCATTTGTTTATAGGCAATATCATGTTTTCATATATTCATAGATGGTATGTTTGTTGTGCTATTATTGTTTTGTTCTAAATAATTGTTATTTTATGTAAGCAAGTTATGTTGATGGCCTATAGATTAAAATAGATGCACATGTTGGATATTGTTAAATCTTGCTAAATTATCATATAACTGCCTAGGGTTATTAAAACTATGTAACTGTGATTTTGACAGATTGAAAAAAAATTATGATATGTCCTATTTTTAAGAAAAATTTTCGGAAAGTCAAATACTTGAGTTTATTTAGTAGCGACCCTTAGTATTTCCACCCTAGTGCCCATCATGTATCCCCAAGTTTGGATCATGAAATCAACTCTCTCTATCTTCTGCTAGTGTGTGCTTGTAGACGACAGGTCTAGATTCATCAACAAATCTTGTGCCATTGCCATTAGCTACCCTTGTCATCGGTCTCAAGTGTAGTTAGTGCACCAGAGAGCTTCCTTTCCCTCTCAATCCGTCCATTGTTGGACGGACAAAAAAAATGCTAGCCACACGAGTTTAGTCCCCTGATTCCTTTCTTTTTTTTTTTTTTTCCACTGCTTTAATACTAAATAGGGGTGAGTTTCTTATTTAGTTTCTTTTCCCTTTCTTTTTACTCAAAATTTGGGTATCAAATATAGACTAGGTTTCTAAAAATATATATATTCTTCTCCTTTTCTTGTCTTAATCTTTTAAAATATTAGAAATTGGCCCATCTAAAATTTTAATAAAAAAAATTGTGAACTGAGATAATTAAAACTTTTAATTAGATACTTAATATAATTCTCATATAATATTCTAAAGTAGTATTTGAGTAAAAATATACAGTAAGATAGTGAAATATGTCAAGTGACTGTAAATTTGGTAATATTATTTAATAATCTAACTTTGAAATTTTATAATATTGTGCAAACTATTATTAGCTAGATGAGAACAAAAAATCGCATGCCATGTGCATTGTTCAAGTAATCATTATCCCGCATTATTTATTTCTATCAGTGCCTTCTAACCATTATTTTCTTCTGTAAGCATTTGCTGGTGGAATTTAAAAGAAATGGTGGTTCTAAATTTTAAATGCCTTTGAGTTGGTCTTCTTCTACTTATTCTTCTCTATAGTCCAAAAAATTATAACCTTTTCACGATTAAATATTTCTAATTTCTCCCTTTTGTATTATAATTTCTTTTTCTGTGGTTCAAAATCATGACTTCCGCAGTTATAAACGGTATTTCATGTCTTTTCCCTCTTCAAGAAACATGGAAAATCCAAGAAAGTGAGCAAGTCATACTCTACATTTTCAACAAAAATCCAAGCCGTTTGAGTGATGTCACGTACCCATATGACAACCCACTGGCACCAGCCTCTGATGGGTCCCAACCCTTCTCTACCTGTGTGCCGAGCGGAGGCAAAAGGCGACGACGGGGGGTGAAACCAAAGCATTTTTTTCCAAACAAGACCCAATCACCACCTTGATCCATCGCCTCCTCCTCTCTCTCTTCTCTTCTCGTCTATTCTCTCTCCTCCAACAAATCAAACTTCAGCCCAAAACCGCCTCAACCCATCTCTGTTGTCATCAAAAACCCATCTCTCGCTTGTACTTCTACCTCTACCTTGGCTGCTGCTTCTCTCTCTCTCCCTCCCTCTAGATTTCAGGATGATGTACGCCGGCGTCTTCTCTGTTCCAGTAGCCGGGCCGGGCTTTTCCGGTCTGAAAGCCAACACAAGCCAGCTTTTTCCGGCCAAGGATTCGGTTTCGTGGACCAGAGAAAACCGTGTCGAATGGCTCGAGAACTCACTGCATGAAGGTAATACAGTGACCTGGCAATCCAGTTAGTAATTTTGGTGCCAAGTTAAGCTTCAATTTCATTTTAATTTATTCAGTTTCTTATGCGGGTGGGTTTGGATTTCATGCAGACATGGGACCCGATTGACAATAAGAAGTTCGAGACTCTGTCCTACCTTCCTCCCCTCTCCGACGAATCGATTGCGAAGGAGATCGATTACATGCTCAAGAAGGGCTGGATTCCCTGCCTCGAGTTTGATGCGGTAAGCAAAACCAACCCAGATCAACAAATTGCATAACTTATCTTTGAAAAACAAATTGCTGAAGCTACTTTTCTTTTTGGGCTTGATTAAGATCTGGTGATGTCTGAAACAAAGACTGAAAATAAAGTCCCATTCGGATGACGGGGTCATAGTTAGCTAGATGCTTTTGGAGGAACTAATAAATCAAATTGGTATTCCAATTAGTCGTCTTGATTAATATCCTGCCCGTAAGTTTCATTCTTCCATGGAGAGAGAGAGAGAGAAGAAAGGGGTGACTAATAAGCCAATCCATAGGCTGTTTGGTGCATGAGATTTTTCCAATCAGTTTGATTCTTCTCCTTGAATTAATTACATATATATAACTAGTGTTGACAACCTGCATATTAAGTAGGGTGACTACAAGAATATCAAATATAAATATAAAAATATACAAATTTAATATAATGTAAAAATATACATCACATAATTCCCATAATTGACCCTGCACAATTATAAATAGCAGATTTAATATTTCATTAAACTGATAAATGATAAAAGATTTTATTAATTTAAAAATTAATTTAAACTTTTTATAATTATAAAAAAAAAAACTGTCAATCCCAATATATTCAAATTTCTCAATCTTTAATATGATTTTCTACAGTTGTAGGAAATGCTGTCTCGTGACCATGATGCTTTTCCAAAGTGTTTTTCGAAAACATCCTTATTTACAGTTTTGTTACTGAAAAAATAACTAAAAAAACACTTTTTATGTTTTCACAATTGTTTTGCAATTCTTCTTTGCCTCTGATTTTTGGCTTTCGGGGATGAAAGGTGGGATCTGTGCGGAGGGAGAACAGCAGAATGCCAGGGTACTACGACGGGAGGTACTGGACGATGTGGAAGCTGCCAATGTTTGGATGCAACGACTCCTCTCAGGTGCTGAACGAGATCCAGGAGTGCAAGAGGACTTATCCAAACGCCTATATTCGATGTTTGGCTTTCGACAATAAGCACCAAGGGCAGTGCATGGCTTTTATCATCCAAAAAGCCCACGGGCTCCGACTAAAAGCGCTTCTTCTTGATTCACTTTTGAAACCCAATAAGCCAATTTGGTTGCTTTTGGCTTCTGTTGGTGTGTATTTCTGATGGATGCATGAATAAGTAGGGTTGTATTTTGTTAAGTTGGTGACTTTGAGGAAACTTCGGGTTTCATGGTTTAAAGCTCTAATTAATAAATGCTTTCGAGATCCAGGAGTACAAGCAAGACTTGGGATCTATTTAATCATCTGACTTTGTGTGACTTATTTTATTTAAAATGTTAAAAAGTCACAGCTTATGGACTTGACATTTTGGCCTACAAACTGAGGAGCCGCATCCTTGTACCTTATTTGTTTCCGGGTCTAAAAGTAAGGTGGGGGTGACTAGGGAAGAATCTTGAGGTTTTAAAGTTTGCTGCGATGAGTCTACGGCATTATAGCCCATTGTTTTGGCAGTGGGAAAGACCGTGGTTTTGATAAGTTATAGATTTATGATGCCACTGCTTTTTTTAGGGGCAAGTGGCTTCTGGAAATTGAAAAATTTAAAATTGGCTGGTTTTACTTTGTCCACGGTAAGAGTAGTGGGTGAGATACGAGTGGCTTCTTGGGGTAAAGAAAAATGATGGTACAAAATTTTAAAAATAAAATTAAACATTTTGTTAAATAAAAAAATAAAGGAGTTGAATAGGGATATTCCTGAGCAACTTTTAGAGGCTCAAAATGCCTTTCCGTGCCGCTTGAAAAGATAGGAGTGAAAAGTCAGATATTATAAATTGGGTTCCTAAAGTGTTATTATAACGTATTATTATGATATAAAATAAGACAACTTTCTCCTCAATGAATCATTTCCCCCGGTTAATTGAGATTTTTACTTCGTTGATGTGATTATAAATTATTGTACATACAGTGACAAAAATACTATTACTTGCTGACAATAGTACTGGAGAATAGTATAATAGTTTTATTCAAATAAATGCATTTTTAATGAGAAAAATAAAATTTAAATCACCAATTATTCAGAATATTAATCAACTCATTATAATCTTAATATCTCAAAAATTAACTTAAATTAATTTTTTTTGGGTCACAAACTTTAATGTTGTAAAACTCTTTTATGAATTAGGTTTTTCTTTATTTGAACTCTTGCTAAATTCATATATATATTCTCATTTTTTCAATAATTTTATCGAGATTTTGTTGTTCGTTTCTCAAAAGTTAAAATAAATTTTGCTTTGAACTTTTATGAAATTATACAATGTATAACATTTACGTTTTTCCTTTTTGTTTTCTTTTTAGATTTTTGACTTTTTTTGATTTATTTTAGTTTATTTCGTGTCTAACTTTTGTCTCTAATTCGGATCATCATTCCAAACAATGGTGAGTTATAAAGTGTTGTAATAAACAAGTATGTTAATCCTATTATCCATTTTTTACTGTTTTGTATTTCAGAGAGGTAAATATTAATATGACATATTTTAAAGTATTAACTAATATATCACTCTGGTAAATTATCAATTATAAAAGTCAATTTAGAAAACTTATTTTTTCCCTCTGTTTTTATAACAAGTGGCCGCTAATCCTGTAGTAAAATTTATCCCTCTAAGACAACAAATATAGCCAACTCGTGTGGTTGAGAAAATATTTGATTCAGGGAACTTGTGTGTCAAGGTCAAATATTATTGGCTCAAGTGAAAATAAACTCCCTCTCTAAGTATGAGAGCACAATATACATAATAAAAATTAAAAAAAAAAAATTTATAATAATAACTATGATTTTCACTCAGAAATCAAAATAATTTACATAATTGAATTTTTATAATTTAAATGTAAAAGTACCAGACAACCCGAGGAATGAAAAGAGAGGAAAAATAAATTAAACAAAAAGTAAGTGGAAAATGGGAGCAAATGGGAGTGGGTGAACTGGTTGGGCCTTGAGGTGTTAGTAAGGCAGCTGCTTCCACTGGATATAAACTGGGGTTAGTGGGTTGATTGTCCTACATTACAGTACGTCACCGGGTTGCGAAAACTCAGTTTTTCTTTTCTTTTTTTTTTTTTTTTTTTTTTTTTTAACACTCGGAGGTCAACATATTTCTCTAGAAATAGTTAATCTCACGTCTAGTTCTTCGTTCCATGCCACGACGTCGTGTTTTTAACTTGTTTTAGGCCCTTACACGTGTTCCCACACGCCTAGGCAACTTGTGCCGTGCACCAGTGTCAGGGCCCGACCCACGACCCTGACTGGCACTAGAGTCCCCGACCCTAGTCAGCCTCACCATCACAAACAGATACCAAAACTGACCAAAACATTTACATATAACGTACATCTCAAACCGTCATATACAAACCAAGATCCTGCCTGAGTGATAAAGAAAGGTCTAGAGTATAAAATGATAACCAAGAACTTGCCCGTACAATTCTGGAGTGGCAGATATCCGTCTCAATCCTGGCACGCAAACCGAGATCTGCAACCCATAACTGAAAAATTTATAAAAAGTGAGTCGCGAAACTCAGTGAGTACGGATGATACATACTCTACGCATGGTAAAATATGCATCATGTCACAATTCAAACCATACAGACATATACAACAATTATTAACATACCACCTATACCTAGAAAGACACCGCTAACCCCGCATTACATCACCTCACGTCACATCACGTCACATCAATCCACATCACAACACAAGACCCAAGTCTACTCACCACTAGACACTACGGATCACCGAACCCCAACCGAGTTCCTGGCATCGCAGTTACCTCACCCGACCCAATCTGTACCACACTGGGCCGAGTTGACCCAACGGGTCAATTCAGCCCAGCCCCATCTGGGCTTGGCCCGCGGCTCAGCCGCGGGGGCGACCGCCTTTCTGGGTCGAGCCCAGCCCAACAGGGCGGGCCGGCCCAGTACAGGGACCCAGACCCATCTGGGTCCCTCCCCCTCCACCCGGGCTAGAGGCTCGGGTCTGCAACACCAGCCAGCCCCCCTCCTTCGTAGCTGGCCCGCAGCTCAGGGCCCCGGGCCTGTTGCCAAATCGGGCTGAGCCCGGGCCCAGAGCCCGGGGCGACCCTCATGAGGGACCCGGCTCAGTTGGGTCCCTTCTCCTTCACCCGATTACACCCCCCCAGATCTCCGTCCGGAACCCACCCCATTATACAGAAACCCGGAACAAAGAAAAATTAAAAGAAACGGAAAAATAGAACTCACCTGGCTCAATTGAAGGTCGATACACCCCAGACCAACTTCTGCGAGCTTCACCAAGCCGATTAATCGAAGAAAAACGAGCTAAATCCCTCAATTTTTCCAAAGAATTCCAGTTCTCGTGCGAATAGCCAACCGAGCCCAAAACCCCCGAATTCTCTCCCTTCTCTCCCAAAACCTCTAAATTGATTGAGGGCTTCGCTAGGTCTCCTAAAAATGCACGCAACGGTGCAAAAATCGACGAAATCCACCATCAATAGACCGGGTCAATTTGACAAAAACCTCCGGTCGGTCACTATTAATGCCGAATTTCTGGCTTAATCGCAATTTGGTCCCTCAATTTAATACTTTTTACAATCTAGCTCTCCCTACTTCTATTATATTCAATTAAATCCAAAGTTTTCAAATTCACTCCCTAATTGTTTCAATTTGTTCAAAACACTCCCAAAGGAAAATTAAAACAAATCGGGTTATTACATTCTCCCCTCCTTATAAAAATTCATCCTCGAATTTTCAATACTGATCGAGCAAAACTACCTACCTGAGTCTTCGAGACTAACTCCCAAACCAGAATATTTGAAATACTAACACTCTAACAATTCCAGCTACTTACCCCATCAAACCAAAGCTTACTGACAGAACGATTAGATAAAACTGAAACTGAATAATGCACAGACTCCCAGAAAACAAACAGAAATCGTACTTCTGGCCGTAGTGGGCACCTGGCTACCATCCCCATCCCTATCACCCCTCCCAAAATCACATGAGCCTAACAGGCTCTCTAATTGTCTGACCCGTAATCCGTGACGGTGTGCCCACAGTCAAAACGGTCCCTACTGAACGAGGGCAATCTCTTGCATCATGTCCCTGCTGTCCGTAACGATAACAAGTCCTCGTCACTGAAGTAACTCCTCAGGCATACAGACAACTCAAACCACATGTCTCCACTGTCCACATCCATAGCAACTCATCGATCGCCAACTCGAGGGACCTGGATCACTAGGTGCAGGGACAGCAACTGGCGGCCATCTGCCAGAAAGACCTCCGCGTCTAAAACGTTGACGTCCATGAAACGATGACCTCCTTCCCCTCCAACCGGATCTACCACCAACTACAACTTCCCCGTGAATCTCCCTCTCAAATGCCGTCGCCTCGGGGTCATCCCTATCGGAATAATATAAGGGTCTAGTCGTATGCCAGCAAGAACCGACGGTCCTGCCACTACTCCGCCCAGAGCAGTAGTATTGCTCAATAATCGCCCAGCTAGAGCTAGCCATCAACTCCTCTTTATCTCCCTCTAGTAAGAACCGCCACTGTCCTTTGTAGTCCCCTAATCTCCCCTATCAATCCCACCACAACATCAGCGAGCACCGTCAGACCCTGACCCATGGCTGACCCCTGAGCTCCTCTCGCTGCCCTCCTGCGTCCTCTACCTCGTCCTCCACCTCGTATCGGATGAGGGGTAGATCCGCCTGTAGAATCTCCCGATGTCTCTGAATCCTCGCAGGGGACCATATGTACGTCGACCGGCGAATCCATCTACACAGAATAACAAAATCAAAATGACACAAAACAATACAAGCACCAAGAAATTCAGGAAACCGACACCAAGCATACCCTAAGAGGTCCCCGGCAGTCCTTCCGTTATGAAAGTGGGGCCCTCACCCTCATAACCGAAACACTGTCCAAGAACCTTGCTCCCCTTATTCTCAGGAAACCTATTGCTCTGATACCACTCTGTCAGGGCCCGACCCACGACCCTGACCGGCACTAGGGTCCCCGACCCTAGTCAGCCTCACCGTCACAAACAAATACCAAAACTGACCAACACATTACATTATATATATATATATATATGTACATCTCAAATCGTCATGTACAAACCAGGATCCTGCCTAGGTGATAAAGGGAGCTCTAGAGTACAAAACGATAACCAAGAACTTGCCCGTACAATGTCTGGAGTGGCAGATGTCTGTCTCAATCCTGGCATGCAAACCGAGATCTGTAACCTATAACTGGAAAGTTTATATAAAAGTGAGTCGCGAAACTCAGTGAGTACGGATGATACCTACTCTACGCATGGTAAAATATGCATCGTGCCACAATTCAAACCATACAGACATATACAGCAATTATTAACACATCACCTATACTCAGAAAGACACCGTTAACCCCGCATCACATCATCTCACGTCACATCATGTCATATCAATCCACATCACAACACAGGACCCAAGTCTACTCACCACTAGACACTACAGATCACCGAACCCCAACTGAGTTCCTGGCATTGTAGTTACCTCACCCGACCCAGTCTGTACCACACTAGGCCGAGTTGACCCAACGGGTCAACTCAACCCAGCCCCATCTGGGCTTGGCCTGCGGCTCAGCCCACGGGCCGATCGCCTTTCAGGGGCCGAGCCTGCCCAACAGGGCGGGCCGGCCTAGTACAAGGACCCGAACCCATCCGGGTCCCTCCCCCTCCACCCGGGCTAGAGGCCCGGGCTGTAACACCAGCCAGGCCCCCCCTCCTTCATAGCAGGCCCGCGGCTCAGGGCCGCGGGCCTGCTGCCAGATTGGGCCGAGTCCGGGCCCAGAGCCCGGGCCGACCCACATGAGGGACTTGGCTCAGCCGGGTCCCTTCTCCTTCACCCGATTACACCCCCCCAGATCTCCATCCGGAACCCAAACCACTATACAGAAACCCAAAACAAAGAAAATTAAGAAACGGAAAAATCGAACTCACCTGGCTCAATTGAAGGTCGATACACCCCAGACCAACTTCCGCGAGCTTCACCAAGCCGATTAATCGAAGAAAAACGAGCTGAATCCCTCAAATTTTCAAAGAATTCCAGTTCTCGCGCAGATAGCCAATCGAGCCCAAACCCCCGAATTCTCTCCCTTCTCTCCCAAACCTCTAAATTGATCGAGGGCTTCGCTAGGTCTCCTAAAAACGCACGCAACGGTGCAAAAATCGATGAAATCCATCATCAATTGACCGGTCAATTTGACAAAAACCTCCGGCCAGTCACTGTTCATGCCGAATTTCTAGCTTAATCTCAATTTGGTCCCTCAATTTAATACTTTTTACAATCTAGCCCTCCCTACTTCTATTATATTCAATTAAATCCAAAGTTTTCAAATTCACTCCCCCAATTGTTTCAATTTGTTCAAAACACTCCCAAAGGAAAATTAAAACAAATCGGGTTATTACAACCAGCTTCTATTCACGCTCTCCACGTGCCTACAATAGTTAAAATATACAGATGTCACGAAGTTATTTTGTTATCTGATTTTAAAGGTAAGAATAGTTTTGGCCCCTCTCCTAAATTCTCTAAAAATGGAAAAGAAATGGTAAACTGTAAAAATTAATTTAAACTTTTTATAATTATAAAAATAAAAAAATGTCAATCCCAGTGTATTTAAATTTCCCAATCTTTAATATGATTCTGCAGTTGTAGGAAATGCTGTCTCGTGACCATGATGCTTTTCCAAAGTGTTTTTCAAAAATATCCTTATTTACAGTTTTGTTACTGAAAAAATAATTAAAAAAACACTTTTTATGTTTCACAATTGTTTTGCAATTCTTCTTTGCCTCTGGTTTTTGGCTTTCGCGGGTGAAAGGTAGATCTGTGCGGAGGGAGAACAGCAGAATGCCAGGGTACTACGACGGGAGGTACTGGACGATGTGGAAGCTGCCAATGTTTGGATGCAACGACTCCTCTCAGGTGCTGAACGAGATCCAGGAGTGCAAGAGCAGTTAGCCAAACGTCTATAATCGATGTTTGGCTTTCGACAGCAAGCGCCAAGTTCAATGCATGGCCTTTATCATCCAAAAGCCCACTGCCTCCAACGAAAAGCGCTTCTTCTTGATTCACTTTTGAAACCCAGCAAGCCAATTTGGGTGCTTTTGACTTCTGTTGGTGTGTATTTCTAATGGATGCATGAGTAAGTAGGGTTAAATTTTGTTAAGTTGTTGACTTTGAGGAAATTTCAGGTTTCATGGTTTAAAGCTCTAATTAACAAATACTTTATCCAGGAGTACAAGCAAGACTTGGCATCTATTTAATCATCTAACTTTGTGTGACTTCTTTCATTTAAAATGTTAAAAAGTCACAGCTCATGGACTTGACATTTTGGCCTACAAACTGAGAAGCCACATCATTGTACCTTATTTGTTTCCGGGTGTAAAAGTAATGTGGGGGTGACTTGGGAAGAATCTTGAGGTTTAAAGTTTAAATAAATAGATTTTGATGTTTGGCTGCCATCAGTGCACGACATTATAGCCCACTGTTTTGGCAGTGGGAAAGACAGTGGTTTTGATAATTTATAGATTTATGATGCCACTGCTTTTTTAAGGGGCAAGTGGCTTGTGGAATTTGAAAATTTGAAAATTGGCTAGTTTTACTTTGTCCACGGTAAGAATGGTGGGTGAGATCGGAGTGGCTTTTTGGGGTAAAGAAAAATGATGGCACAAAATTTTTAAAAATAAAATTAAACATTTTGTTAGATAAAAAAAAAAAGGAGTTAAATAGGGATATTCCTGATCAATTATTGGGGGCTCAAAATGCCTTTCCATGCGGCTTCAAAAGATAGGAGTGAAAAGTCAGATATCATAAATTGGTTACAAAGTATTATCATAATGTATTATTACGATATAAAATAATACACATTTCTTCTCAATCAATCATTTCCTCCGGTTCGTTGAGAAGTTTGCTTTGTTGATGTGATTATAAATTATTGTACATATAGTGACAAAAATACTAGTTGATGATAATACTGGAGAACAGTATAATAGTTTTGTATTTTAATAAGAAAAATAAAGTTGAAATCACTAATTATTCAGAATATTAATCAACTCATTAAAACTTAATATCCCAAAAACTAACTTAAATTAATTTCTAAAACTTTGGCAGGGTCCCAACCTAGCCTTGATCGGCACTAGGGTCCCCGACCCTAGTCAGCCTTACCATCGCAAACACATACCAAAATTGCCCAAGCATTTATATGTATATATACATTTCAAAACCGTCATCAGGATCCTGCTGAGGGATAAAAGGAGCTCTAGAATACAAAATAGATATAACAAGGAACTCGCCCGTACATCACATGAAGTGGCAGACGGCTATCTCAATCCTGGCACGCACTCCGAGAACTAAAAAACCCTATATCTGGAAGTTATAATAAGTGAGTCGCGAAACTCAGTGAGTACGGATGATACCTACTTATGCATGTTCGACTATGCACCATGCCACAATTCCAACCATACTGACATGTACAGCAATTAATAACACATCACTTATATTCTGAAAGACATCGCTAACCATGCATCACATTACATCACCTCACTAATCACATCAATTACATCCAACATTGAGTCCCAGGTCTACTCCACCTCTAGACGCTACGGATCACCGTACCCCAGCCGAGTTCCTGGCATCGCTCAGTAACTCGCCCCAACCCAGCCGCTCACCACTGGACCCTACGGACCGTCCTCCAGCCGAGTTCCTAGCATCGCTAGTAACTCGCCCAACCCAAGCCGATCACTACTGGATCCTACGGATTTGTACTCTAGCCGAGTTCCTGGCATCCCACATCACACCACACAATACCATCATCACACGCAAGTTGAACCAGATACACATACACATTAAATCCCATCTCCAAAATTAGTGGTACATATTAACATAGTCTACTAGCAGTTCACAAAGCACAAAACACGCATCCCAAGATACATATATCAAACACAGTCTCGCAAATCCATGCAGACACCATGACAAAAAACAAGTATGCAACACAGGTACAGAGAAGGTATCATCACTCACAGTGTAGGCCAAATCTAAAAAAGTATCAGGTCCCGTCAATCAACCCTCCGGTCCCTGTGCTCCTCCATGGGTGAACCTAAAGTTAAAACCATACAAAACCGTCATTGACCTCATCGTCAGACCCAAACGGCTCGACAGCCCAAAACGGGACTTAAATCCCCCTTCTCGTACCTGACACGCATCCGAGACAACCCTGACCCATCACTGGATCCTACGCGATTCACTAACACTCACACTTCGCTCAACAACCCTTAACAATAAAAGACCAGCCTCCACAACCCCCAACCCATAGCGAACCGATCTCCGAAACCCCTGAACCGGCCTAGCCCGATCCCAAAACTACCTCGAACCCACCTCGATTGGTTATAAAACCCTCAAAACTGGATTCAGAAGGCCAAAAAATCTTAGGAACCATATTAACCTGGCCAAAAACCTTTAAGGTTAGGTCGAAACCGGGCCAAAAACCTTTATTCTATGCATTGGCATGTAAATCGAGGTCGGTTCACCTTGAAGGACACTCAAACTTCACCAAATTTCATGGTCAACTAGATTTTATCATGTTGAACTAGGAACCGGTTCAATCTCCCAAAAATTGGCTCAAAAATTGATGAACCGTTACTCAAAGCTATTTCACTAAACCGGTGGTTCACCTTAAATCGGTCACCCAAAATTTTCCGAACCCACTTGATTGATAGGTATTTTTTACCTGAATCCAAAAACGGTCTAACTTCTCAAATCCGAGTCCGTTTGACCACTGAACCGAACCGGTCAAACTTTGGACCGTTTCTGGCCGATTCAGTCAACTCCACTAAACCCTAATCCCCAAATCTGGATTATACTTCCCCTGCTATGCTCAATCTAGCTTATCCCTGATTCTTTATCCCTTGGTTTGCCTATTCTAATTTCCTTTTTAGGGTCAACTCGGCTGAGTTGACCAGCCCATCCCTTCACTGGGCGGTCGAGTTGACCTAGGGTCGACTCAGCCCAGCCTCACCCGGGTTGGTCTGCGGCTCAGTTCGTGGGCCTGAAGCTGATCTGGGCCGAGCCTAGGCCCTGCAGGCCGGGCCAGCCCTTGCCAGGGACCCAGAACAATCCGGTTCCCGTCATTGTCACCTGAATGGTGTCCGAGTCTGTAACAGACCCCGACAGACCCATCCTTCCTGGGTTGGCCCGTGGCTCAGCTCGCAGGCCGCCACCTCTCCCGGGCCGAGCCAGGCCCCAGCAGGCCGAGCCGGCCCCTGTCAGGGACCCGGACCCCATCGGGTCCTTCTTCTCCGCCTGGAAGCCCAGGTCACAGACCGGGCCTCTACAACAAACCCGGCAATCCGAAACAGCAAAAATTCAACCAAGCTGGTTTTTACCTCGTCAATTTGCAGCTCACCCTCCTCGACTACCTCGGCGACCTTCGTGAGTTCTTTGATGAAGGAATTTGACCCAAAATCTTGAATTTTCCAGAAAGCTTGCGGAACACGTCGGCCCTTCCAGCCCTCTCTCTCTCTCTTTCTCTTTCCTTTCTCCCAAAATTCCAATTTTTCTCTCTCTAGCTGGCTCGCCCCTCGACCACACTCAAGTACCTAAAAGCCAGAGAAGCTGGCTTGCTCCTATTGGAGCAAGAATCCAGCTTCTACAGCCTTCGGCTGGTTTTCGGCTGAAGGTTCCCTTCCCCTTTTTTTTTGTTTTTTTTTTAATCAGTCCCCCAAATTTTGGGTCTTCTTCATTTCAGTCCCCACATTTCCAGATCTACCCCTGCACCTTTTAATTAGTGCAAAATGGTCCCTAACAAAAATAAAATAATTTGGGACATTACATTCTTCCCCACTTCAAAAATTCATCCCAAAATTTTCAATACCAATCGAACAAAAACTACCTACCTGAGTTTCCCAGACCAACTCCCAACCCATAATATCTGACATACTGACGCTTTAACATTCCGCTACTTACCCCATCAAACCAGAAGCTCACCAATAGAACGAATAAATAAAAAACCGAAACTGAATAACACACAGACTCCTAGAAAAACAAACAGAAATCGTACATCTGGCCGTAGTGGGCACCTGGCTACCATTTCCATCCTATCACCCCTCCCCAAAATCACGTGAGCCTGACGGCTCTCCAACTGTCTATCCGCAATCTGTGATGTAGTGCCCCGTCAAACAGTCCCCGTTGAACGAGGGCAATCTCTCGCATCATGTCCCTGCTGTCCGCCAAAGATAACAAGTCCTCGTCACTGAAGTAGCTCCTCGGGCATATGGACAACTCAAAATCACGTGTCCCCACTGTCCCACACTCGTAGCAACTCACCGGTGGCCAACTCAAGGGACCTAGATCACTAGGTGCGGGGACGGTAACGGTGGCTATCTACCAGAGAGACCTCTAGCACCTAAAACGTCGATGTCCATGAAACGATGACCTCCTTCCCCTTAAACTGGATCTACCACCCACTACAACTCTCCTCGTGAATCTCCCTCTCAAATGCCATCGCCTCGAGATCGTCTCTACCGGATCATATAAGAGTCTGGTCGTATGCCTGCAGGAACCGACGGTCCTGCCTCTACCCGCCAAGAGCAGTAGTACTACTCAATAATCGCCCAGCTAGAGCAGCCATCTACTCATCTCTACTCCCTCTCAGTAAGAACCGCTACTATCCTCTATAATTCCCTATCAATCCAACCACAAAATCAGCGAGCACTGTCAGACCCTAACCCATGGCTGACTCTTGTGCCCGCCTCGCTACCCTCCTATGTCCTCTACCTTGTCCTCTACCTCATGTCAGAGAAGGGTAGATCCACTTGTAGAATCTCCCGATGTCCCTGAATCCTGTGGGGGACCATATGTACGTCGACCGGTGGATCCATCCATACAGACGACAAAATTAGAATGACACCAAACAATACGGGCACCAAGGAATTCAGAAATAAACACCAAGCATACCCTAAGAGGTACTCAGCAATCCTTCTGTTATGAAAGTGAGGGCCCTCACCCTCATAACCGAGAGCACTGTCCAAGAACCTTGCTCCCTTTATTCTCAAGAAAACTATTGCTCTGATA